GTTGATGTTTCCTACAGAAACAAAAATAAACAAATGAGAAAACACACAAACAAAAAAATAGTGTGACACATATTATTCGTGTTTGAGGTGCTGAGGGCACTTCTGGTCAGGGGAGCGTCGAACTCGGATTGGTAAAAAATATTGCACTTTTTGGTTCTTGCTTTTTACGATAACGTTAGTGTAGTACTATATATCACGCGCTTATTCAGGTTAAGAGCTGAATGTTAGAGTGTTTTCACATGACGTCACGGCGGCCATATTGGTGCATGTCACAAAACAATGAAACGGCGGTCATGTTGGGATGCCAAATCGATCCTGATCGGCCTAAACCCCGTGGTCATCTTATGAAGTTCACACAACGTAGTATTCTTTACTGCTTCCACACTACACTTAGATGAAATTCTGCTCAACAAATGTTCATCAATTTTGTGTCTCTTCAATTTTTAAGGAAAAAAAATTCCGTAGAGCGTGAGTGGGTATCGAACCCGGAGTCCATGTCCTTACCACAAGGCCACTGAGGATTGACCGGCTAGAGGTGATTTGATTTGAACTTATATAGCAACAATCCTAACCCTAAATAGAAGTTTAACCGTTTGGAGTGGTGCTTAACCCTAATCAATACAGTCAGTGCTCGAAACTGAAGCGATAAGGAATGCTACGTTGTGTAAACTTGATGAGGTGTGCGAGGGCTTTAGGCCGATGGGATCTAATGCTAACCTCACATGCTGTGAGAGTTCAAGCTCTTTCTTGTGTAAAGATATTCTTTTGTTTCAAAAAACTTGCATAGATGCTGGCCACGTGAGTGAAAAGACTCTATACGATGAACTAAATACTACGCGTGATGTGTGTGATTGATCTATGGGTACCGACAGACACAAGGCTGACGACTCTCAGGAAAAGTGATTTTTCGGGCGCAAAGCCTTGAAAATATTTACACATTTACACAAGTGAAGTGCAAATAAACGTTAAGCTGGAGTTGTTTCCAAGTAACAACTGGGACTAAAGAAACCGAGGTGATAAGTTCTCTCAGCAACCTATAACCTAGACTGCAAGGAAAAGTCGAATGTAACGAGGCAAGTTTCGGTGTTGCGTTTTGTTTTTCTGCTCATTGTAACAAACAAATATATTCCATTGTTTCTTGTGTCTATTCAGTTACAGATCAGAAAAGAAGTCAAAATGCGGCCGGAGTACCAATTTTTTTGCTTTTATCGTTCTACATTTTGAATGACAAATGGAATCTACTTGTTTAATCTCATTGTTTAACAGGCAATAGAAGTTAATAACGAAGACCTAATCTTTTCTCTGTCCCTCGCGTGCGATTTTCTGAGAAAAGTCGCTGCAAAATTGACGTTCGAAGCTTTCAAATCTGTATTGTGAAAGAACAAATCGACAACAATTTTCCACTGCCATAACACTTTGACCTCATTTCTATGACCGCAAAAGGGATTTTCAAAATATCCTAAAATTTGCCTCTTGAGCATAGAAAATGGGATAAGTCTTATTCCTCTGTAATTGACTGAAATCGATATCAACGTACCAGTGGAAGATCATCCCGACTTTGTGGTTCATCAACTGGCAGTAGTGACTCAAAACCCGCTACTTTTTGGACATGATCTGTCATTTTTGAGTCATCTGTATCTTGACTGGATACCCCTGCTACTTGTGGGTTAGCCACACCCTTAACGAGGCTGTTGACTAACATCTCTGGTTCAGTGATGTCCTGCATTCCATCGGCTACCTGGGTTACTCGGCAACGTGTTTCAACTAAATCTTGTACATGTTGTGTCATTTGCACATCATTTGTGTCTTGTGAAGCGCTCTGTGCCTCTATTACGTAGGGCAGATCGTGAATGAGGTCATTTACTAAAACTTCATGTTCAGCACTGTCGTGCAGTTCATCAATCTTTGCAGGCTGCGCCGAGTTATTCATTTTTTGAAAGCCATTTTCTCTGATTTCCAGCTCGCCCATTTCTCCGGTAGTGTCCCATGAGTCCTGCAGTTCAGCCACATCCTTTCTGCGATCATCACTTTCTACTCCTTCTGCATCAATTGTTTCTTGAATTTTACCATCGAACAGCACAACTGGATCAGCCTCATGCTGTAAGCCATCCTCATTTACAATTCGTGAGTCATGGAATTTCTGCGAGCAGTCCACTGGCACCTGCGACAGAGACACGGCACACTTCATACTAATATCAACTGCCACATCCGGTGGTTCGGCATTTTCCTGCTTGTTATCATTCTGTCCACTCGATTCTCGTGAAAGACCTTCTGTTTTTTCGAATACCTTAGGTTCCTCTATGGTATCCTCTGTCTCTTTGATCCTTGCCTGCTCCATCCTCTTTTCATTATCATTCTCAGACACCATGTTTTGATCCAATCTCTGCAACAATCCATTTAGCCGAGAAATTTCAGCATCTCTCTTATTTACCTTGTCTAATGTCTCATTTAACCTCTTTTCTTCATCAACTGTCTCTTTTTGCAGCTTATTGACTTTCTCTTTTAGCTCTTTGTTGCTCTTCGAAAGCGTGGCATTATTTTCCCGACTTCTTTTCAGTTCTTTCTTCAATGCTGCGATATTAGTTTCCATTTGCGCCAAACTTTCAGCCGCTGTCGCATGAGTTTGTTCTTCGACGTCTTTATCTTCCATCTCGTCATTGTAACTATAATTTACTTCCATTCGATTGCTTTCATTCGAATGCTGTTGTTCAATTGCCTTGAGATCACTTTTTCTGGCATTTGGGAAACTCTTTACCTCCATTTTCTGGTTACTCTTTTCGCACACACCTGTTTCCATTTCTTTCAAACTTTTCTCTAGCGTTCGCTTTTCCTGTAGTAGTTTGTACTCTGCCTCGGTTGAAATCTTTTTGTACAGCTCAAACCTCATCTCCTGTTTGAACAAACGTTCTTTTAGCATGTCTAACTGTCCCTCTTTGGCTTGAATTCCAAGGTGTGCTGTTTCAAGTGCCCTTTCCTTCTTTCCAAGCAAGATATTATTGCAATCTACTTCCAAATTCAGCCGCTTGATTTTCGTCTCATAATAGCTAGTCTGAAGATTAAAAAGTTCTGAGAACTTCCGCCTTTCATTTTTTGCCTCATCAAGCGTGCCCTTTAGACTTCTGATTTCAAAGAACCTCTTTTTCATATTGTCTGTCAAAATATCATTGTCATGCTCTTTCGAGGCAAGGGACCGTTGTAGAAAATCAATCCTCTGTTCCTTTTCCTGCTGCAGGTACCTCAGTTTTTCTAACTCCCTATTCACCTCTCTTAACTCTGAATTTTTTGTCAAAGTCACCTTTTTGAGATCATTAATTTGTTCTTCACTTTGGTAGAGCTGAGTTTTCATCATTGCTGATTCGTTTTTAAGGCAGCTGTTTTCTTCTAGAAGCAAGAGACTCTTTCCGTTTGAGATATCTAGCTCTCTTTCTTTCTCTTCAACATAACTTTTCATTTGTTGCAGTTCATTGCTTCTTTCATTCAAGGAAATGTTGGTTAACTCCACAAATTCCTTTAGCTTCTCAACGGATGAATCCAAATCTTTAATTTGGTTGTTCTTTTCCGTTAAGGAAGAGCTGCTCTGTTCCAAGTCTTTCTTATTTTGGGCGATCGAAAATTCTAGCTGTTGAATTTTATCATCTTTCTCTGTCAAAGATAAATTCTTTATATCCAACTCCTGCTTTAATGCATTAGTGGACGATTCCAGCTCTTCAATTATTTTGCCTTTTTCCCTTAAAGAGGAGCGACTCAGTTCCAGATTTCTCTTTAACTCCAACAAAGTGGTTTTGAAGTCCCCAAGGTCATTATCATTTTCCTTTACATAGGTATCAAATTGCTTCAAATTTTGTTTTAACTGAGCAATAAAGATGTCTTTGCCTTTAATATTTCTGTCTTTTTCCTGAAGCAAGCTTTGTAGCCTAGCTTGAAGATTAACCACTCTCTTCACATCTACTACGACTTTGGCCAGCTTTTTCTTCAAGACGCTATCTTCATAATTCGCATAAGCTGAAGCAGATTCCAACGCTTCATCCTTCGCAGTCAAAGCCTTCTTTGTTTCTTCCAGTTCTTGCTGCATCTCAGTTAAACTCTGCCTGAACTCATACAGAAGTTCATCTCCTTTGCAAAGCAAACCTCGAGCCTTAATTAATTCAGCGTTTCTCTGAGCTAAAGTGCTGACTGTTTCCTTAAACTCTTTTTGAATCAGTATAAGTTCGCCTTTTAATTTATCAGCTGAATTTTCACCAACATCATGAAGTGAGTCCTCGTTCAGCTTTGTATCGTCGTCCATCAGTTGATGTCTTGAGTCCTCCCGATCTCTGTTTTCCTCTTTTTGCTGCTGAATCAGATTCAGTTCATCCTCATCTGTTAATTTTCCCTCAATTTTAGTCAAGTTAAATCTCTCTTCTTGAGGACGTGTCACTAATACTCTCGAGGCTATCTTACTGGGATCTTGAACCTTTTCGTTTCCCAATTCAGGTTGATTTTCGTCCCAATTAAATAGTAGTTTATTCGTCTCCAATGTCTCATCCCTCTCTTTCAATAGATTCTCGAATCCCTCTTCCTCCACAATTGCATCATCTCTTTCAAAATATCTCACTAGGTTTGAAGCCTGAGTCAACTCCTCTAACATCAAAGAGTGTTCCTTTTCCAGTTCACGGAGTTGCTGCTGAATGCGGCGTTTGAACTGTTCCTTTTGTTGTTCAAATTTCTCATCATCACTAGCAGATAAAGACCATGACACCTCATTCCCTTCTAAGATACCATCTGCCATCGTACGTTTTTCAGTTTCTTTGTCATCACCATCGTTGATTTCAGAAGGCCGCTGTGATTCATCCACAGATTTTGACATTTCTTCAGATTTATCATCTTGTTCTTGGTCTTTATTATTCTTTGGCACATGAACTCTAATATTATCGAGCGCGTTGTCTTGATCATCATCGTTTTCAAAGAATTTCCAGATGCTCTGCTTTTTCTTTAACTGAATCCCAGCGGTGGATTCCCCGCAGAACATGGACTGCTCTTCAGGGTCGCTGGTATGATCACCATCCTCATCAGCCGTCAAATTTGCTTGCTCCGAGAGTCGCTTTTCAACAACTTTGCCAGTCAACTGTTCGGCTGAGCTTTCATCCACCAAGCTAGAGACTTCTGCTGGGCTCTCACAAGGAACCTGCTTTTCCTCAAGGTCACTAGCTTGTTTATCCACACTTACTCTTTCACATTGCCGCTCTTGGATTTCCTCCACTTGCCCGTTCTTGTTAACAGTCGTGCTTCTTTCAAAGCAGTCCACACTTGTATTAACTGATTCAATGCTCGATGTTGTTTCCTCCGTCGTAGAAGAAGACTCCCCCTCAAAACTTTCATCAGAATAGCTCACTGTAACTTCTTGATCTTTGGTGAGTTTTAAGGCGACGGATTCGTTATCCACCTGCACTGTATCACACCTTAAACATGAATTACAGTATTGTCTCAAACAAAATGCAACTTCCTTGCCAAATATTAATACACAAGTCAGTAATCTATCTATCGATCTAAACGCTTGTAGTTGATACCCAATACATTCTTAAATGGAATTTCATGGGCTATAATCTAAGAATATTCAGAGAAATAAAACAAGAATTCAGCCTGGGCCTTAGTAACAAGGGGAAGAGAGGGATAGAAAAATGCTTCCCTCTCCTCCACCCTCTAGTTTTTCGTTTCCTCCCCCACCCTTTCGACGTGTGCCACACTCAGGCCATAATTAGTAATCTCTATGGCCCTTTGACTGAAACTGTCTCCGTAACAGTTTTCTTATCATCAGGAATAGAAATACCGTATTTATTCGAATAAGCGCCCAACCTCGAATTAGCGCCCACCTCGAATAAGCGCCCATCCTAAAGGCAGAAATAGTTAATAAGCTCTCAGCCTCGAATAAGCGCCCACCCCTCCTCCTCCCAATCAGACTCAAATAAGCGCTCACCCCCAACCCACCCACTTAAGTGAATAAGTTCCAATGAGAGACTTCCCCGAGGACGGAGTTTTCTTCAGAGTATTTTACAGAAACCTTGCTTTGTTACTTCTTCGCGTTTTGTTATTAGCATTTATTGTTTTGTTGCAAAATAAACATACTTCATTTGCTGAAAATGGTGAAAATATAATAAGCGCCCAGCCTCGAATAAGCGCCCACCTCGAATAAGCGCCTACTCTCAAGGTCCAAAAATTTAATAAGCGCCCAGGGCGGTTAATCGGATAAATACGGTAATGATTTTTGCTCGAATGCGTTTGTCAAAAATGAACCTCAGTAAACCCTGATCTTCCAAAAACCCAGGTGCATCTCGTGAGAGAGACAAAAGCAGGTAAACGACGGTTCGCCTTCTATTTTCTCACCATAATAGATAGCCTCCAGGTCTCGGGAAGATCATTCAACTTATGAACAAAAGAAATATTGACTCACTTGACTTCGTCCTTCAGTTCTTCTGGCGCATGCGTACTCCGCACTTGTTTTTCCTTGGCGTCCTTCTTAAAGGACGTGCGGCCACAAATTACTTTTGGAGATACTCTACATTTTTCCTGCAAAACAAAGTTCGATAGCTACTGAGAAAAAAAATGAAAAAAATAAAAACAAAATAAAACAAGTCTCGACTGCACGGGAACATTTTACTTTTTTTAGAACATTTGTTGCAGTCGTTTGCACAGTGTATCAAGGTAGCTGCTGGAGAGTGTCGATCTATTATGATTTGACACTAGCTTATAAATCAAAACCTTTCAAACCCGTTAAGTTAGATGGAAGAGTTTCTACAAGTGAAACAGAAAACTTGCGGTTGTTATTCGCAACTTGACAAAAGAGAAGGAGACTGGGCCGAGTAAACTTTCGCAAAGACTTCTGGGAGTGTTACTATGCAGCTGTCATTTCGCGACGCCATCACTGGTTACCCTGCGAAACGATGTCTGAGAAACGAGCGCAGAAATTCTATAATAATGACGCTTCACTACCTAGATCTGGGTAGTGCGTTTGATTGGCTGCAGCAAGTTTCCCTCGCGCCACGACCAATCAGAAGCACTTCCCAGATTTAGGTAGTGACATGTCACCAGTATGGAATTTCTACGCTCGTATCTTAGACGTCATCTCGCGGGGAAAACAGTGTTGGCGCGGCGGAATGTCGCGGCTGTTTTCTCAGGCTAGGCCAATAGCTGATCGGTGCGTCCCCAGCAAAGATCCCCGAAACAATTGCGGGACACCTATCGGCTCCAGTTCTCTTCTAGTTTAAAAAAACAACAAAAAAACAACGAATTAATGATGTCCGCGACGTCAACGTTCCGAAGCTTTAAGTTAATAAAAAATATCTTACCCCTATTGGCTTTCCGGAGGAAGCCGCTGCCTTTTCGAGTACTGCCTGTTTTCGTAGAGCACTGGCCTTTGTGTCACGCGGGCTGGCACTTTTGGACCTCTGTCCATCGTTCTTTGCCTTGGAAGCAAACCGTACTCCAGTCGCGTCCCCCTTTTTACCGAGGACTTCATTCAAGTTACGCACTGGTTCAAGGATAGTGCCTAAAAACCAATATGGTGCACATCAAATAAGTGATTATGGAAGCATAGCTAAAAGCCTTTTGTCATGTTAACACGACTTGAATTTGTGCCAGTCCTCTTTTGAAAAGCTCGGCCCAGCCGCGCGTTTCTCAAAACTCCCAAAAACATTACGGTCGCGAAAGCTTTTCAATGCACAAAAGGAAAAACTCTGCCAGTTCGATAAGTATGTTGGCCTACTTTACAAAGTTCTGTGACAAGTAGACGCCTGAATTGCGCGCCTTATGTGATTAACAACAACACTAGTGCTTTACTCACTGTTTTTTTGCGACCACATATCGCGCGTTGGCGCGAAGCGCTCAATTCAAACAAACTAAAACTCGACGAGCTCTGTTATTTGGAGAAACAATTCCGTAATCACTCCTACAGAAAACTTGACTTTTTTTTTCCAAAAAAATCTCTTTATGACGGGAAAACAATTCACGAAAGCTCTCTTGGAAAACTCGTGGCTAAAAGCGTCGAAAACTGAAGCAAATAGCAACATTTCCTTGGAAACTGATTTCGTCACAAACAACTAGTTTGCGTTCGAAAAGACGCACGCGCGCGCAGAACATTCCGTCGTACTGTGTTCTTTCCGAATGGAAAAATAGGTACTTGACTTACGCACAGCTTAAGGCAGGTACTGAAAATACTGGCGCCATATAAGGGAATAATATCAAACTGCAGTGAATGTGGCACGTTGTAAATCATCAAATCACTATGGCTTCAAATTTTTACTGATTCAAGAACAAGCTTCTTTACGATTTAGCGCATCCTTCAGAATTTGTAAAACCGCAAGTGTGGACCAAAAGTATCTTCAACTCCAACAGCGCAATAGTACAGAGTTATCGTTAACTTAAAAACGTTTTAGGGAAATACGTCTGACCCACCACTAGAAATAAGCCTGCGTTCGCAGGCTAAAAATATGGTGAACACAGAGTCATTCTGAGACGCATTGTGCTACCGTCAAAAATCATTTCGTTTATTTATTTAAGGTCTTGGAAGATAACACACTAATTTCCACTTATTTTTACAAGACATTTTAACCCACCTTCAAGTAACGTTACTCAAACGGCTTTTTAAAAATTTTACAAGGCCTCTATTTCTCTAAAACGTAAGATCGATCTGTGTAGAACTTACAACCATCAACAAGTTGATTGGCCTACGATCAACACAAACGCACGGACAACTAACTTTGTACAGACTTCGGAAAATTCAACACAGATTCTATAACTAAATCTCGAGGATTTTAGGAAAGGCCTCTCTGGTGCTTGAATCAGTTTCGAGACTGCACCAAATTCGTTGAGTCACCATGAGGCAACTTGACCTCGCTTGTTCGATGTAACTTCGAAAAGTCAGCGTTTTATGTTCTATGCGACCGAGCCCATAAGGACAACTTCCAATAGGACCTCCGGTCCTCAAGTAAATTTTTTAATGCTTCTGAACAACTTCTATAGTAAGCAAATCAAAATCAACATAGATACAAGCCGTAACCTTTCGCAGGACCAATTTGCGAAAAACGCGAAACAAATTCGACGGCGAACAAATCAGAGAACTTGGTATAAACTTTCAGTAGTTTCGTGTCCCCCAGTTACATTTGTGAGGGAAAAAAGAAGACAAGGAAAAACAAAATACAAAAAAGTACCCAGAACACAAATTCTATTATTAATTTTACAGCAACTTAGAACTCTACACAGTTTCTCTTTGTCACCGCCTCCATCTATCGCGGTTCCAGTGCTCTTTAAACCTTCTCTCTTCCCTGCGATCTTCGTGTCTCGGGGGATGATCGTGTCGGTCTCGGCGCTGTTCGTCACTATACCACGGCCTTCCTTGTCTGTAGTCGTCACGCCAATTCCTGCGCGAGTCATCCCGAGAATCTCTGGAGTCCCGATGGTAACGCGAGTCATTGTGCCAACCAGGTCTGTGCCTATCATCGATTCTTCGTTGATCGTAATGTGGATCTCTGTGGTCACTCGATACTCGTCTATTTTCTCGGGATCCTAAGCGTGATTCGCGAGCCGCCAGCCGCGCGCGTTCTTCGGGACGGAGACCGCTGTACTGTTCTACGTCTTGAGTGACGTTGTTCACTTGACGTGTCACCTGTGGTGGTTCCGAGGGGTTCCATCTGTCGGGATGAGGTTGGGTTCTCTGATCAGTGGATGGGCCAAATGGAGCTCTCTGATCGGATGAGTTTCCGTGCTGGAGCCTCTGGTCTACAATAGGCCCAGGCTGAGGTCTGTGATCGGTAGGTCCAGATTGCACTCGTTGATCAGAAGGATGTCTGGGTTGCGGCCTTTGGTCTGAGGAAGGTGCAGGGTGCAGCCTTTGGTCTACAGTAGGACCAGGCTGAGGTCTGTGATCTGTAGGTCCAGGTTGCACTCTTTGATCAGAAGGATGTTTGGGTTGCGGCCTTTGGTCTGAGGAGGGTGCAGGATGTAGCCTTTCATTGGAGGAGGGTCCAGGTTGCAGTCCAGGGTGTAGTCGGTGGTCAGAAGAGGGAGAAAACTGAGGTCTCTGAGCACTGGACACTGAGGAAGAATGTAAGCGATCGGCAATTGCCACTGGGAGATGTGGTCTACTTAATTCCTCAGACTTTGCCTGTCCATGACCTGAGGTCACAGATGAATGCGACACAATGTCTGAAGACGCTGATGACTGGTGCTCACGTGCGGCTGGATTCATGGGTTGCAGTATACTACTTGACACCTTAGGTAGAAATGCACTCGCTGCTGCCAGTTGAGGAGCTGTTCCTTGAAGCCTCTGAAGTGTGGAAACTAGAATCTCCAGACTGGAAGGCTTCGCAGAATCCACAGGCGTAGGATTATTCACTGACTTAGCGGGTTCAACTGGCTTGACAGGTTCCACTGGTTTGACAGGATCAACAGGCTTGGTAGTAACTGCAGGTTTGGAAGGGGTGATGTCAGTGAGATCGAGATCCAAGCCCTCTTCGGGATCATAAGGAGCGTCGTCGTCAGCTACCCCTACCTGCTGGTCTACACTGACGACCTCCGAGCTGCCAGACTGTTCATTTTCTACCCCTTGCTTTCCGTTGCTTGAGGCTGTTTTTTTCTTTGTCTGTGCCAAGATGTACTGGCGAGCGCGCTCTTGAAGGTCCAACAGCTGCTGTTTTTGTGCCTCGAGTGAGGGAAGCGACGATTTTTCGCTTGAGACAGCAGAAGAAATTCCAGTGGAGGAGCTTACGGATGGTGTTGAAGATTCCGAAGGCGGTGACACCTTAACTGATGCGTCTTTGCTCTCACTGGCTGTCTTCTTGGCTTGGCTAGTATGGTACTGGAATACGATATCGTCGATATCGGCTGGTGGAGAGTCACGCAGCTCCCGAAGTGTCTCCCTTTTACTAGCTGGGCTGTCTGAAACCCCTCCATCACTGCTATTAGTCTCAACACTCGCTGAACTGGTTCGTCGCTTTGGTGGTGGTGACATGGACCGCTGACTGAGTGCACGTGGGCGTTTAAACACAGCTTTTGAGCGTACAATTACCCCAAGGAGCATGTGAGGACGAGGTTCATCTAAGCCTGAAAATAAAACATAAGTTACATCAGAATCATAAATTGGTTGTTTATTGCTCTGCCCGCACTCGAGAAAATTTCTTCTAAAGAAGATTGAAGAAGGCCCAGCCTTATACACTATCTCGGTGGACCTGGCCGAAAATAAAATTCGTATGTCAAGTAGAACAACACAATTCTGTAAAAGACGAAACAAACTCAACAGTCTTCCAGCCGTAAAGATCGTGTGAGCAAATATTTAATTCAATCAGCCAAACTTTATGAGTAACAGTCGAGCTTTACATATAATGCTTGAAAAAAAAAAGCCCAAAACACTTGTGTCATTTTCGTGGTGCCGACAAGCAAGACATAATTTTAAAGAAAGGCAAGGAAATTCGCGAATTCGCAAGCAAAATAAAAAAAAGTAACGTTTAATGAATGCCTGCAACAGCCTTAATTTCAAACGAAAAATTACATTCTTACCAGGGCCATCAAAAGGGAGCAACTCGGGGGGAATCGGTTGATGTGATGCTAAAGGCACCAGGTACATATCCTTGACACCAGTATAACAGTTGCTCACAACGCCGCAGCGCTTTCGACTGTAGAAGTAGGAATACAGGGAGACGTAACTCAGTTTCTCATCATCTGAAGACGCCTCATACCTGATAACGCACACCTCCTGAAAAAAACATTGAACATCAAAAGCTGAGTGAGAAAAAGGATTAACAGAAAAACACAGTCACGTGACCAGCCCACAGAGTAAATCCTACGGGGTGACCATTTACATAAAATCTCTTCTTAAGTACTTTCAAAATTAAAAACTGTTCAGTCAGTGCGCAGTTTTTAACATTTGAGTTGGTAGATAAACTCTTGTGATAAGACCACACGATGCTATTAATTTTACACGTTACTTACCACTTACTTTTTTGTAAGTAGAATAAACCTATAGCATGACCATGAATCTTGACACCTCTAGCAGCGTATTTTTCAGTATTTCAAAATGAAATTGGAAATGGTCTTTAATTTTAGTAATGGGATCTTTTGGGACTAAAAACGTTAATAAAGGACTGGTTGCTTGCGTGCAAAACTTTCCCACTTGAAGCACAAAATAGTAGTCATCTGAAAACAAACTTCGAGCGAGCAGCGCTATGAGCTGAAAAAATCCCTTAAGACAAGATAAGTTAGAGTGGCTGTACCCTTGATGTGGAACTCTTCAGCTGCAAGAGATAGTCCCATACTTGATCATGTGCTATGCGGCCCTGGATATGCAGTGTGTCAGGCAGGAGTTGTAACAGATCGTCACATGATCCCGACACGCGGTAAGCACTGGTACCGAACTTAGCTACACTCTGCATCATCACGAATCCTTTCCACACTGCTGGAACTTTCTTTGTAGTCTTGTTGAGGACTGAGGGTGAGACAGGTGGCTGGGACACTGTGGCTGAGTCAGGGGAGCTGAAAGAAAGAAGCGATGAAGACG